TGATTTCCTGTTTATGAACGGCTGACACTGACTAAGCTATACTCTCCCTCCCCTGAAGATTGTACAATTAAAAACACAAAAGGGTAGAGCATGCGTAGGCGTAGATCTCAGTTAGAACAAGAACTAAGCTTTATAACCTTTTCACTGAAACTTTAAGTATGGGAACACACACACACACACACACACACACAAAGTCCCCCGTTTGACAGTCAGTTTGTCAGTGTGCGCTAATGGAGGCAGAAAATAAACATAATTAGTACTGTCCGTTTCCTTAGAACAAAATCCGTCTACAAACAAAAGCTGTGAGTTTAAAATGTGGCGTACACAATACAACATTTGTGAACTAATATCGGAAAATAAACACCTTTTTGTATAAACCTCAGCGCGCATTCACGACTGAAGTTGAATTGTTTCAGTATGACTTACCTTCTGTTCTGATCACCCGCGTTCATATCATTTCTGTCAGAAAGGCAAGTCTATTTATTTTTTCACAAGTGTGTTTTGTTTCGGTGTGTCTGGTGATATTGCTCTGCCTATGGCTGTTCTTTCGCGCAGGAATGAGACATTACATCACCTTCAGTGTGAGATTAGACAAAAGCAACAAGACAACAAGACTGTGTCTAAAAAAGTTACTCTATTAACTGAGCAGCTGTATCGGTCTGAAAATCAGCATTGCTGTGATTACAAGAGATGTGCTGATTTTTAACAGAACTCTTGCTTGCGTGAACTTGCCAAATTGTACTTTTCCTAACAAAAAGTATAGTTGTTCCGCAATCTACGTGTTAAAACGCATGCTGTATTCTGTAGAATTCAGCGAGAGTTGATATCATTTCGAATGAAGTAGAATAACGTACCTTCTGTCCGCTCGCGAACGCATCCATTCTGAATCAGTCAGGAAGGTCTGTTAGCGCTCGCTCTCTGGAGATGAAGGCAGACCAAAGAGTTTGGTGCGGAGCTCCGAGTGCGTTTCTCTGCCTGACTCTGACCCACCGATTAAAACTACTAGTCTAGCAATGACGGGAATGAGACATTACAACACTCGTGTGAATGTGAGATTAACACACTTCAGTCTCACATTTCAATGTTTCATGTGTTTCCTCCAAACGCTGCACGTAATTATATGGAGAAGCAGCCAAGAGGGCGTCGACCTGAGAACCCATTCAGCACGCCTAAAAACTTAGAAAAAAATACAGTCATGCTTTAGTTCTGTCCTCTAGTCTAGCGCATCCAATTACAGGAATGGTCAACTTTCTGTTCATCCACAAATGTGACCCTGGACCCCAAAACCAGTCATAAGGGTCATTTTTTGAAATTGAGAAAATCATCTTTAAAGTTGTCCAAATGAAGTTCTTAGCAATGCATATTACTAATCAAACATTAAGTTTTGATATATTTATGGTATGAATTTTACAAAATATCTTCATGGAACACGATCTTTACTTAATATCCTAATGATTTTTCACATAAAAGAAAAATTGATAATTTTGACCCATACAATGTATTGTTGGCTATTGCTACAAATATACCTGTGCTACTTATGGCTGCTTTTGTGCTCCAGGGTCACAAATATGTATAAACATCATTGGTGTTCTTTTAAAAATATAATTAGCATCGAAAAATTAGTATCACCATCTGATATTAGCTACTTTACCAGGTAGCACTACAGTTAGGCAAATTACGTGTATTTTGATAATTCACAATTTAATAGTAAAGAATTTCTAATTATAGGTTAAACTGATTGCCTTGATTTCTACTTGATTTTAATGCTCTGGATGTTCATGGTCCAGAAATGACACATAAATGTCAATGAAACCATATTCATCCGCATTTCCATAATAAAAAAACAAAACATCCATGAAACATTACGGTCTTATTTCTGTTTACATCCCAAAAGGTCACAGGTAACTTTAAACTATGTTAAAATGGTTTAAATTGCTTTTCAGTATAAAACAGCTCATAAGAAAAGCCAAAAATCTGTTTCATGTAACTTTCTTTATAGAAAAGACATCAAGACCAAAAATCCTCATTTGTGTACAGAGACATCACTTCATGAATCTTGAATGTCTTTTACATCTTTGTTCATCTGCACAGGAAGTAACCATCACATTTCTGCATGACCTTGAGCGCTGAATAAAAAAATGATTTGCATAATTTAGTACACACTACAAGTTTTAGGTGTGAACAGTCTTTACAGTAATCAGCTATTGCATCATCTGATACATAAACATACTTCTCATTCTTTCTACAGGCACGAGTTTTATCCTGAAAGCATTACATGTCTCCTTTAATAAATGGAAAAACACAATGAAAAGAATACAAACTAGACAGCTAACTAGTGTCTCAAAATCAACAAAATGCACCAAAGCAAGGTGAGTCCTGGTCTAATTGTCAGTAATAGGGAACACAATGCAGACAGAGGCAAATAAAAACAGCACTTGACGGATCAGAAATGTGCGATGCAGCATGTCAGCTGGAGATCATCTACTACAGATGTGATTTTTCCTGCGGCAGCACTTTTTCAAACACCACAGTCAGTAACTGCATACTTCAGATTCCTCACAAATAACAGCATTCCCATCATGCTCATTAAGCACACAGCGGTCGATTCTCCTGTCATCCAGCGGTTACACACTCGGGCACTTCGTGAGGGGCGTGAAGGTCCTTCACATGATGATCCGCGGCTCAGGAACAGAGTCTGCGATGGATTTATGAGGCAGAACATTGGCACCATTGATGTAGAGCTCATCGTTCACGATCACGTCTTCACCCAGGACCGTAACGTTCTCCATCCGCACCTGACCAACACAATCGTCATCATACAAATCACACAGGAGAGAGCACAGAAGCAGCCTTCCACAAGAATAGATCCCATTCACATACTCCAATTTATCCAGATTTTTGATTTCATTTCATCATTCACAATGCTTTATAAGACGAGTAGTGGTTATTACCCTAGTAAAACAGTAATATATTTAAAACACATTTATTTCATACTAAGTATAGTTAAAATCTATTAACAGTGCACTACATTCACTAACCCATCCCTCTAAATGGATGTCATATAGATAATTAAAATTAGTGCTGTCAAACGATTAATTGCAATTTCGCATGCAAAATAAAAGTTTTTGTTTACACAATATATGTGTGTAGTGTGTATATTTATTATGTAAATGAACAACATACAACGTACATATTATGTATGTATTTATTATATAAATACACACACATGCATGTATATATTTAGAAAATATTTACATGTATATATTTATATTCATATAATTTATATTATATATAAATATATTTAATATATAAACAACATATTTTTCTTAAATATATACATGCATGTGTGTGTATATATATAAACATAATAAATATACACAGTACACACAGATATTATGTAAACAAAACTTTTATTTTGGATGCGATTAATAATTTGACAGCACTAATTATAATTAAACTTTACTTGGCATATTACTTGTGCACAATGCACATTTCTCAATATTAAGCTAAAATGTATTTTAATGTCACTTTTGATGAGGATTGTATGATCTTTGAATAATATCGGTCTTTAAATGCAAAATATTTAAAGTGTACCTGAAGTATTGCAGTAGTTCCACTTTTGCACAATCATATATACCAAGTATATGTTTAATTGGACTTCAGCACTACTTCCGCACAATTAAAGTGCATTAAGTACAAAATTAGTTGTTCCAATTTAGCAGACTAAGTATACCAGTTTAGTATACTAAAAGTCCAATTGCAGTGCATTTTAATAAGTACATAAATATGAAAATGTATTTGTAGTATACTTAGCATGAAATAAATGCATTTCAAATACATTCAAGTATATTAATTTTTTTACTAGGGTACTTTTATACTTTGAATAGAAGTGTTTAATATTGTCATTCATACAATAATTAGCTTGGTTCTTGGTTTAAAATTATTCATAAAAGAACTCCTCTGTAATTGCTATGAAGAAAATAAATGAAAAAGTGGCGCTCTATGAACAGTGAAACTCACCCACTGCCCCACTGAAGAGCTCCATCCCACAATGCAGGACTCCAGCCAGGAGTGGGAGCGTATGTGCGCCCCCTTCAGGACGGTACAGCGCTTTACTCTCACGCCATCCTCCAGAACCACTCCGGCCCCGATCGTCACATTGGGCCCGATGGTACAGTTTTCACCGATCACCGCCGTTGGGTCCTGGGTTGAGGTTACAGCGTGTCATATATTTAATATATATATATAATATACTTATAGGCACAGTATATGTTGATAGGAGAAACACAAAGCATGTTTCCTGTTTATTGTACATTACAGAAAATGGAAAGTGGCTTTAAATATTTTTTTTGCTGCATTTTTTAGAGTGAGTATATTTTTCCAAATGTTCAGAGCTGGGTGGATTACTTACAAATTGTAATCCGTTACTGACTCCAAATTACATGACAATAATTGTAGTTAGAAATGTAATCCATCACAGTACACATTTTAGGTAATATTACATATTTAGGTAATATTACAATATACATTTAAGATTAATCTAAAAGTAGTCTGATTATATGATCAGACTACTTTTAGATTACTTTTAGATTTTCACATTGATTTAAACAGGATAATCTTGCACCATATTGATATAAAAATACAAAGAGTAAGAAAATGTATTCCATTCGTTGTTATTAATAAAATTAAGTGCATTAAAACTTACATTGTGTCATGTGACCATTAACCACCATCAGAGAACAGTTAACATGCAAATGTGATACTTCATTATTAAAATATTTATTTTTAAATCTTAGAGGAGTACTTCATATAAGTACTATATGAAGTACTCCTTTAGGTGAAAGAAGTTCAGATGACAAAAAGGTTTGAGCCTGACTATACTGTATGTTACCAGACGCTGCTGTCAAGAGTTTTTTCCCGATTTGCAATGTTATTAAAATGCAATTTTAACACACAGCTGTAGATTTTGGTCTTTCCCCATTTAAGTAAATAGAAGCTCTACTTGCTGAGAATAGCTGTTACAAATATGGCTGATTCTACAAAACATAAGGTGAGATAATTTTGTGCTACTACCTTGTGTTCACAGCCTATATAATAGATATTTAGGAGTGAAAGCGTGTCTGACCACGAGAACGTTTCCGAGGAAGCCTGGCCCGCTGCGGAGCCGCTCGGGGGCCTGCTGCCGAACAGACTGCAGGTACATGCACATGCCTGTCAGGAAGTCTTTGGGCTGGCCAATGTCCATCCAGAAACCTGAAACACACAATTAACAAAACAACTGTAACTGCTAGTTTAGTAACTGTATGATGCATATCACCACTGGATCGAAATTACGCCAGATGTGTGTGTGTGTGTGTGTCTGAGTGTGTGAGAGTGTGTGTGTGTGTGTGTCTGAGTGTGTGTGAGTGTGTGTGAGAGTGTGTGAGTGAGTGAGTGTGTGTGCGTGTGTGAGTGCGTGTGCGAGTGCGTGTGCGAGTGTGTGTGAGAGAGAGAGAGAGAGTGTGTGTGTGTGAGAGTGTGTGAGAGTGTGTGAGAGTGTGTGAGAGTGTGTGAGAGTGTGTGAGAGTGTGTGAGAGTGTGTGAGAGTGTGTGAGTGAGTGTGTGAGTGTGAGTGTGTGTGAGAGTGTGAGAGTGTGTGTGTGTGTGTGTGTGTGAGTGAGAGAGAAACAGTGTTTGATTGAAAATCAAAATGTCAATCAGTGATGAAAAACGTGTTAGTTAGAGTAAAGAAGAGACCATATTATTCAGTCTTGGTCCAAAAAGATTATTCAATCAAACTAGATGGTACAATTTTCTATATACGTATATGCCCAACTGATGCAAACAGCAAAGTAAGCCCTTATTTAAAACGGTTGTGTTCTGTATTCATCCAATCAATGATACTGATAAAGCAAATATGCAAATAAGAATGTAATGAGTAAAGCTGAAAGCCCAAATCTTAATGGCCCATAAACACCAAGTATGATAACTATACCATTAGCTGTACTTCTACACTAGTTAATTCCTAACCCAGGGTTAACGCTGGAAAAACCTGAGCCAGGATTTTGTTAGCCTAAGGTTTAAGTGAGTTGGGATTAGCAATTTTAAGTGTAAACGATCAGTCTGATTGTTTAGATGAACTGTACAAATTTATACGAATAAACCTGTTGATAAATATACTGCCGATCAGTAAGATT